TTTTTTGAGACATGGTATTGCTCAGTTGCTTAAAGCCTCACTAAATTGCTGAGGCTGACCTTGAACTTGTGATCACGTCTCCTGCTTGGCCTCCTGAGTTACTGAAATTACAGGTGCGCACCACCACACCCAGCTGGTTTGATTTTACTGTACCAGTAGAAGGGAGCTAACATTGAATGGCTATTATGTGCTCAGGGCTTTGCATATTACCTAGCAGATCTTTCCACTCTCTGTTTCTCTCTGTTGTACTACTCCAGTTCATGTCATGGTCACTTCTTTAACAGCCTCTTCACCCCTAGTGTCGCTCCCCACCCCAATCACTTTACCCTCTACAAAATATCCAGGATGTGGGCTCTATTTTCAGCATGTCACCAGCTCTTCTTGGACTGGGATGGTGTGGTCCAGGTTTATCTGGCTGGGTACATGGGCCTTTATGCCTTGTCCCTGCCTTTTCTCCAGCCCCACGTGTTGCCAGTTCCTCGAGGACAGTTACACTTTAGCCAACTAGAATGTTTCTTTTCTTTGAAGGTACTGTGTTCTTCCACCTGCAGGTTTTTGCATGTACTATTCCCTCTGCCAGGCGTATTCTCCTTTTGCTGATTTTCTTGTCTTCTAGACTAACTCATCAGTTACTTTTAGAAACCCCCTCCCAAGCCCTTAAGTCTGACTTGGTCCCCCCTCTTCTACCAGAGGTTGCATTTCCGTCATAACTGCCTATGTTGGACTGTATTTCTTACCCCTTTCCCTGTAGCTCCACCTGGGCTGGACCCTTCTCATTTTTATTCAACTTTGTATCCCCAGCTCCTTGGCCCATGCTGAGGGCCATTACCAAGTAGGAATGACGCATCGAAATTTCCTTGCCAAGCGTACCCATTGTAGATTCTCAGTTAATCTAATTAAATGAAGGTGCCGTGTGTCGGTATTGGGTGGGGGTGGGTGGATGCCATCTTTGTTGTCAGTTGTTGGCACCTGTTCTGTGACGGTCTGATGACCCAGAGCACTCCCATCCTGTCTGTTCTGCCCACCAGCCAGCTAGGAGCCCAAGGTTGCTTGCCTCCAGCAGCTGCAGTCCACCTTCTGCCAGGTTGAAGTATGCAGGCCCCCCGTGCCTGTGGCTCTGCAAGGAGCAAGTTGGGGGCTAGCAAATTCCTGCCTAGGCTATGAATTCCTGGGAGGCTTCCACACAGGAAGAGGGGTGGTAGTGGTGTTGAGTGGGCCATGTCCACGCACTTCATCCTTCCTAGACGGCCACGCTGACTTCGGGTGGAGAGAAGCCAGACAGAAATTTGGAGAGCAGCAGTGATGACGACAGCCAGGGGCCCAGGCCCCCAAAGATGTGAGAGTCCACTTTAGCATGGTGGGCGGGGGTGGGGAGGGAGAAAGAGCCGAGTTCAGTGCCTGCCTGGGTTTCTTGGGGGTGGAATTGAGTTGTATTAATTAGTATGTCCTTAGCACTTCAGAAAGTGCCAGGTCTTGGGCCTGGGTTGTGGCTACCATGTGTGGAATGCTGGGTTCAATCCTCAGCACCACATAAAAATAACACAGAGATATTGTGTCCACCTATTACGAAAAAGTAAATATTAAAAAAAAAAATGCCAGGTCTTGAACAAAAATCTCAGTGTTAAAGAAACATTTTAGAGGGAAGGAGAGGTCAAGCCTTTCTGCCAATCTGTCTGTAACTCCTCATCTGCCCCCAGCCTGACTGATGAGATGCTGCTCCAGGCCTGCGAGGGGCGAACGGCACACAAGTAAGTAGTAGTCACTTCTGGGCTCCCTTCCTTTCTGCCTACCAAGCCTGTGCTACCTTTTGATTATTTCTACCCCAAAGAAATAATTCTTGCTGTCTACCCATATACTGCCTGAAAATAGGTAGTTCTCTGCCCAAGCCCCAACTTTCCCTGCAGGCCTAAGGATAGGTCCAACTCCCAATACCCTTGCTGACACTCTGTTTCAGGGCTGCACGTCTTGGGATCACAATGAAGGCCAAGCTTGCTCGGCTAGAGGCCCAGGAGCAGGCCTTCCTGGCTCGTCTTAAAGGCCAGGTCTCTGAGGCCTCTCAGCCACAGTCTGAAAGCCAGCCTCCCAACCCCCCAAAAAAGAAAAGGAAACAGAAAGAGCCTATTGCAACTGAGCAGAGTGTGGATGAGGAGCACCCAGAACACACTGAGCATAGCACCAGGAAAAGTAAAAAGAAGAAAAGACGACATCAAGAAGAGGTCTCAGATGAGAGAGGGAGTGGAGAGGACGAGGCCGTGGGGCCCAGGGGGCTCGAGGAACCTGGGAGCAGAGAGCAAGCCCGTCAGTCTCTTAAGAAAAGGAAGAAGAAGAAGAAGAGGCAGCACCATGAAGGGGAGGAGGGGGAGGAAGAGTTGGGGGTGTTGGGTGGAGAAGGAAGAGGGAAGGATCCTGCAAGTGGTGTCGGGAGAAAGGAGGTGACGAGCAGAGCGCACAGGGACCTCTGCCACAGAGACAAGAAAAAGAAAAAGCAATGGCATGAGGAGGACTTGAGCGTGGCTGATGGGGACCAGGAGGAGACTGCTCTAGAGGGTGCAGCCAGGGAAGCAGGAAGCTCGCCCTGCGGTAACAGAAGCAAGAAGAAGAGACAGCGGTGCAGGAAAGAGGAGGAGGTCTCAGAGGTAAGCTGTGAGGGTGACAATGACAGGACTGAGGAAATAGAGAACAGAGGTAAGAAGAGGAGGCGGCAGCAACTCGGGGAGGAGAGAAGGTGAGTCAGCACTGACCAGAGCACCACAAAGAAGAAACAGAGGAAGAGAGACTGAAGGCCTCTCAAGCTGGAGTAGTTCCTTTTCAGTTGTAGCCTCCGAGACCAGGATCAGCATCCTACAGGAGGAACCCCTTCCAAAGAGGAAACTGAGCTCAGGGACAGCAGTCTCCTGCTGGAGACAAGTGCCGCGTCTTAGTCAAGGGAGTGGACGTGGTCTCTCCTACTCTCCCTGCAGCCTCCAACCCAGAGACATGAACTCGAGTGCCTCCAGGAGCCAGGCAGCTAAGGAACAAGGTAGACAGGGGCAGTGGGAACAGGAATATAGACAGGCGCATCCCTACCAAAATACGCCAAAATGCAGACTTATGGGAAAGGTCTTGGCTTTTAAATATCATGAAGGCTAAGAAAAACACAAATTTGGGGTTATGGGCTATATTCAGCTCATAGGTTGCTTGTTTCTAACACTATACCAATTGACTATAAATAAATACGAACTTGAGCTCCCAGCCTACAGGTACATACAAATTGGCATCTTTAATTCCAGCCTTGGAAGGTCCTGAATACAATGTGTGGTACACACAACTAAAAACGGGTGGGGATCTGATCAGTAGTAGAATGCTTGTGTAGCATGTTAGAGGCTTTGGGTCCAATCCCCAGTACCATAAAAAAGAAAAAGAAATTTCCTTGAAGTCTTTTGAAGAAGTTCCTTCTGTTAACCTCCTGGAGTCTTGCTACATTAATGTAAATGGAAGTAGCTTAAAGACAGCATTCAGCTCGCTGTCTCAAATGGATAAGTGTCACTTGTGTATGAAAAACAGCACATCTGACTTGACAACTAGTTAATTATCTTTTTTTTCTAAATGCCACATGACCTCTCTTGCCTGTTCTGTTCTCCCAGAGAGGCAATACCACCACCCATTAATCGTTATATCCAGAAGAGCTCCCAGGACAACAGTTCTGGGAAAGGCACTGAGTCTTTATTGAGGAGAATTCCCACCCACCTGCCTCACTGCAGGCGGTAGACGCATTCAGTGTCCGGGTAGGATGGCAGGTTCAGCTGATACTTCTTTTCCAGAGCAGGTGGTACAAAACGACCTCCCAAGTAATGGTAGCGACCAGTGAACTGGGTAGCAGACTTTTTAGGTGCTGTCAGAGAGATGAGCAAGTCTGGCTGGATCCCTCCAGAGTTTCCCTTCTCCACATCCCATCCTGAAAAGAGGGTGATGCTCAGAAGTGTGGAAGAGGCCATAGGTCTAGTCCCCTTCTTCACTTCGCTTTACCCTAGCCTTTTTTTTTTTTAACTTAGTTGTAATTGGACACAGTACCTTTTATGTGGTGCTGAGGATCAAACCCAGGACCTCGCACACGCTAGCTAGTGCTCCACTGCTGAGCTCCAGCCCCAGCCCGATTTACCCTAGTCTTAAGGACTGGGATGCCCCTTCAGTCCTTGCTGGAGGAACTGTCACCATAGGAGCTCCAGATACCTCTGGGCTTTGTTTTCTTCATGGGGCCAGCATGTGAACTCCTCCTCAGCCCTAAAAAATGTGGGACCTGGAAAGCTGTGTTCAACCCCTCTATACTCGTCATTTTAGACCTGGTCCGAGCTCTGGCTCAACAATCAGGATTCCAAGGTACCTGCTTTGTGACAGAGGGTAGAGCCCCAATTCCCCCAACCTTCTGGGTCCCAGCACCTGAGGGAATGTCGATGCTGGCAATCGGCACAGTGAGTCCACTGAGGACACTCAGGATGCTGCGGAATGGCTCCCGAACATCACCCTTGAAGCTGAAGCCAAAGATGGCATCCACCACCAACTCGTACAGCTCATCAATCATCATGGGCTGTGGTGGAGCAGGAAAAGGCAAGGATGTCAGACCAGCAGCTGCACAGAGAGCCTTAACTGGGGAGGGCTGTCTTCTGTATCCACGGAGCACTCAGAGGCACAGAAACTATCTCACTCAAAGCCATCTTTTTTTTTTCCCCCTTGGCACTAGGAATTGAACCTTGGGGTGCTCTAACATTGAGCTACCTCTCCAGCCCTATTTATTTATACCAGAGATTGAAACCAGGGGTGTTTAACTACTGAGCCACATTCCCCAGTCCTTTTACTTATAAGTATATTTTTTTAATTGTAGGTAGACACAATATCTTAATTTATTTATTTTTATGTGGTGCTGAGGATCAAACCCAGTGCCTGACACATGCCAGGCGAGCCCCAGGCCCAGTCCCTTTTTTATTTTTTGAGACAGGGTCTCACCAAGTTGCATAGAACCCTTGCTAAATTGCTGAGGCTGGCTTTGAACTTGGGATCCTCCTGCCTTATTATTCCAAGCCACTGGAATTACAGGCATTTGCCACCATGCCCTGCTTATTTATTTATTTTAATTTTTTTTGGGGGGTGGTACCAGGGATTGAACTCAGGGCACTTGGCCACTGAGCCAAATCCCCAGCCCTATTTGGTATTTTATTTAGAGACGGGGTCTCACTTAAGTTGCTTAGTGCCTCACCATTGCTGAGTCTGGCTTTGAACTTGCAATCCTCCTGTCTCAGCCTCCCAAGGTGCTGGGATTATAGAAGTGCACCAACAAAGGGCATACTAGAGAAAGGGGGGCATGGCCGTGGATTTAGGCCAAGCTGAGTTCACACATATTTTCTGAGTGCTTGCCACTGGAGAGGCTACAGTGCAGAAGAGCCCAGGACACAATCAGGAGGGCCCAATTTCTGGTCTCAGCTCTGCCATGATTCAATTCTGTGATTTTGGCAAACCATTTAACTGCAACTCTGTATCCTTGTCTGCAAAATGTGTTAAGAATTTTTCTAATAAAAAACTCATGCACCTGCAGAAAAGATTTAGAGTGAGGCAGTTACTCCAGCCAAAGAGGGACAAATCATGTTTACAGCATGCAAGGGGAAGAGGATCTGATTACAAAGGGACTGGGGAAGAAAGCTGTAAAAGTGGTGGCATTGGGGACTCATATGAGAACACCTTGTGGAGGAGGAGGGGCTACCACTTCTATTCAAATAGCATCCTTTAGGCATGTTCTGTGCTGGGACTGGGTAAGTGAGCTCCGCCTGGAAATGGGCAGAAAGCAGAGCCTGGAGTGGTTACTGGGGAGATGGGCTATTGAATGAAGCCACCTACCTCTGGGGGCATTTCACCAAGGAAAGGGATGTCCATTTTCTGGCACTGAGTCACCAGTGCAGAGAAGAGTGGTTTGTTGGGCCTTTTGGGGTAATAGATGGTTGGCTGGTAACCCTAAATGCAAAGGGAAGTGGCAATTTCACTTCAGATCCCAGAACCCTAAAGCCCTCCCCCAGGGCTCCTCCCCACATACTCACAAAGAGTTTGAGGTGTCTAGCGCAGACCAAACCGTCTCCTCCGTTATTGCCGGGGCCACAGATGACCAGGACAGTAGGGGGGTTCCTGGCCATGGACGAGGAGGGATATGCCTGAAGGCAGAGTCAAAGGGTTTTCAGGCAGTAACAGACCAGTTGGGCCAGCTCCTATCCTTTATGCTCAGGAGTGTGACACCTCCTTGCTCCTCCCGGAGATCGCGGGTTGTGCCACTGACCTTGGCAATGGCTGTAGCGCAGCTCAGCCCAGCCAGCTCCATAAGTTGGTCCACGCTGAACTGGTACTCGTTGAACAACTCCTGGTCCACGGCCTGGGCCTCCTCCTGGCTGAGGGAAGCCCTAACCTGAGATCCTGCCCTCGGGTGTCACGAGGCGCCGGCCCGAGGACAGCCGTCCACCGCGTGCCCGCCCCCGGCCTCGCCTACCTCAGGTACTTTACCGCGGTGCTCGCCATGGCCTCTGGGTCCCGGGGCCCACCCACGCTCAGCCGCTGCGTTCCCCACCACGTGGGGCCCGCGCGGCAGGCGCCGGCCTGACTTCTGACTCGAGGCAGGCGTGAGCCGGCAACCAGCAGCCCGAAGCCCAGCAGCGCCCGCAGCCCCGACATCAGCTCGCAGGCGCGCGCCTCCGGCCCGGCCCAGTAGTTCATGCGCAGGCGCGGCGCTCCTCCCACCCGGAGAGGGCCGGCCGCCGCGCAGGCTCCGGAAGTGGCTTGGCGGCGGGCGGCGCGCGGAGCTCTGCGCTCCGGCCGCTCTGCCCCCGGCCGCGGGATTCGGGTCCGCCCCGCCCGAGGCCGGACTCCCGTGCGCCTTCAGTGACCGCCGGAGCCCAGCCCTTCCCGAGAGCGTGGACTCGTCTCCTACTCGTGGACGTACTGAAGGCCTCGGGGAGTGACCCGCGATTCTCCAGCTCTGCCTGGCTGTGAGCGCGGCGGCCGCTGGACCTGCTGGGGGGACTTGGGCCTCCTGGTGGCGGGGCCGCAGACACACACCGGGGAAGGGAGGACCCGCATCCAGCTCATGTTCATATTTACCTAATCTAGGAACCCCCTCCTCTACGTTAGTTCCCACCTCGGTTCCTACCAGAACATCACGCCATACTTGTCTCCTATAAATCCTAAATAGGTTAAAGATGTCGTTGAAACCAGAGGTTCCATTAGGAACCTTGAGGAGAATAAATTTTATGCAAGTACTTTTATTTACCTATTTGCAATACTAGGGATTGAACCCTGGGCCTCGCACATACTGGACACCCTACCACTGAGCTTATATCCCCAACCCTTTATTTATTTATTTATTTTTCTTAATTTCATTTTCAGGTAGGGTCTTGCTGAATTGCCCAGGTTGGTCTTTTGTAATCCTCTTGCCTCAGCCTCCGGAGTAGCTGGTGTTACAGGTGCACATTGGCTATCCAAGTACTTTATTTTTGGGGGGATTGAACCCAGGGGCACTTAACCTCTGAACCACATTCCTAGCCCCCCCCCCTTTTTTTTCTCAGGGATTTGAACTTGTGATCTTCCTACCTCAACCTCCTGAGTTGCTGGGATCACAGGCATGCACCACCACACCCTGCTATTCGAGTACTTTTGAGAATGCAAACAGTGCTGCATGGGTAAGAAGCTGGGGAGTGTACTCCCTGTGAATTCGTTCGTGGTACACCAAAAAGCCTCAAGGGTGACAGAGTATGCCACCTCAAAATATGCCACTTTGGCATAAGGATTATTTTGAATTAAAGTCATTGGAAAAACAGTAAGAATAGAAGGCGTTCCTACCTCCCCTTTTCTTCTTGTACCAGGGATCGAACCTAGTGGTGCTTTACCACTGAGCTACATCCCCACCCCACCCCCCTTTTTTTGAGACAGGGCATTGCTGGGATTACAGGCATGCATCACTGCCTGCAGCTCTCCTTTCCTTCTTGAAAGCAGGAGAAATAAGATTCTCATGTGAAAGACATGCTCCCGGTACTAGGAGGAAAGAAATATTCTTATTCCTGAAGACGGGGAACAGAGGTTAAGAACTCTGTACAAACTCTGTTAAAATTCAACAGTGTATCTTCCTTTAGCCTCCATATATATTTTAGTTGATTTTCCACAATTTCTTCCCTTTTTTCAACCTAAAACATTTAGGTTTTGCTGCTTTTTTGAGTTGTTCCTTTTGTTATGATATGAGGGGCCCTGTGTCACAAAATTTTTATTAAATATATTTGTATGTGTTTCTCTTTAATCTGTTTTACATCAACTTAATTCTCAGGCACAGTCAGAGCCTCCAAGGAGAGTAGAGGTTAAATTTTGCCTCTCCTACACCCTCTTATCAAATATGATCAGGATTAAATTATCTCATTTCAGCTTAAAACACAAAACACATTCATTTGCTTCTTGTCAAACTGGGACCCAAGTCTTTTCTCTGCGGTTAGGGTCCCCTTTTTTCTTACATAAACCTCACCAATTACTTATTACCTGCAATTTCCAGTTTTCTTCCTTAAAATGAGTCAATTAATGGGCATGTCTGAAGCAATCCAATTGCAGAATTCATCTAGAATCTTGTGATTTCCTCCCAATTTGTAATAATTTCCTTGTTCAAGTCTAATTCAACAGCAGCTTTTAAAAGTGACTCACCTTAATCAGGTCTTTTAAGGATCCAGCTTAGTTTTTGTAGAAACACTGCTTGTTTTCACACTTAGTTCATCAATTTATACAATATTTAACTAAGTTATATATTATAATAAAACATCCATCATGAGCACATTGGAATAAATCACTGGTTGAGGATGTGGCTCAGTGGTAGAGCGCTTACCTAGGATGTACAGTCCCAATCCCTAGTACTGCATGCATAAATAAACAAATAAATAAAATAAATCACACCAGACAGCAAGCACCTAAGTTTGAATCCTGCCTTCTCCACATATGGCTTGTGTGACCTGGAAATTCCCCTTTGAGATTTCTTTTTCCTATCCGTGAAAGGGGATAATAATAGCACCTCATAAATTTTGTTGTAAGGAGAAAACACTAGTAAAGCACTTAGTATATGGGACATGTGCTAAGTACTCAATAAATGTTAATAATGTCATTGCTAGCCGGGCACAGTGGCACACACCTGCAACCCTAGTGGCTCAGGAGGCTGAGGCAGGAGGGTCACAAGTTCAGAGCCAGCCTCAGCAACCAGGAGGCGCTAAGCAACTCAGTGAGACCCTGTCTCTAAATAAAATACAAAATAGGGCTGGGGATGTGGCTCAGTGGTCAAATGTCCCTGAGTTCAATCCCCAATGACCCCAAATAAATAGTGTCATTGCTATTTCCCTGGCTGGCAGCTGGCCTTGTCCTACAGGCTGTGGGCCTGAGAAAGCAGTGAACAGAGGTCTGGTGGGTTAGTGTAAGGTCTTCTGTAGCATTACATCTCCATTTCCCATCTGAGAAAAGAAGGTCTGCAGAAAGTCAGTGACTTCAAAACTACCTGACCAAGAAGTCAGAGTTTTAGTGGTTGATTGTTCCTGTGTTGAGCCCACGGGTGCTTTACCACTGAGCTATATCCACAGCCCTTTTTAGTTTCTATTTTGAGACAGTTTCACCATGTTACCCAGGCTGGCCTTGAACTTGTTATCTTCTTGCCTCAACCTCCCAAGTCTCTGGGATTACAGGCATGTGCTGCTGTACCTAGCAAGAAGTCATAGTTTTTAGAACTGGCAAGGGCTTTAGCAATCATGAGGTCTAGACTCAGAAGGAAAAAAAAAAGAGAGAGAGAGAGAGAAAAAAAAAAAAAAAGCAGGGTAGGAGTTCACTATCCTTTTTCTTTTGCCTCTTGAGTCCAATAAGGAGCAAAGAGAATCTCTTGGAACTGGGACTGCAGAGCCCTTAGCCCACCTGCTCAGGAGTCCACTCAGTGACTGTGTTGTTCTATTTCCATACAGGGTTCAATGATTTGGGAAGAGGCTCAGTCCCCAGAAGTCTATGAAGTGTGTGTGTTGAGGAGTCCTGCAGAGGTGAGGGCTGCAGCGAGCAGGGTGCAGGTCACATGATTATGCAGAAGCCAGACTGGGTGACTCTCCTCTGAGGGTTCTTGTGGAGGGCTTCCCTGGGCCGCCTGGCTGACCTGAAGGAGGGAAGGAGGGGTTGGCCAGTGGGATCAGCGAGGGAGAAGAGCAGGGGGCCTGCCCTGGCTCCAGCTCCCTAGGCCCTCACTGGCCTCCACTGGTGGGCTCCAGTGGAGGAAGCAGAAGGCTTAAACTTCATGTTCCCCACTTCTGTAGAGATCGATCTCTCTCTCTCTCTCTCTCTCTCTCTCTCTCTCTCTCTGATTCCCATAGTCAGGCCATGCAGGAGGCAGGGAGACCCTGGGCTCCAGAGCTGGGTGAGGGTTGTTCAGACTGCTGAAGTAAGACAAACATTCAGGGCCCCATATCCCAGGCACCAGATCATTTCTTTTCCCAACTATGACAGTGGTCATGTTCCATCAAATATCATCCCAAGCCACACACATCTTCTGCTTCCTTCATCCATTCTTCTCCCCTCCTCCAGGACTCACCTATTGGCTTGGGAGCCATTGGGTATCAGGATACCAGAGTACTCTCTAGGGGCACCCAAACCTCCAAATGGAAGATGGGTCCTGGGTCTTGGACCTAGAATGGAGAGGGTCAAACATTCACCACAAGCCTCTTCACACCAAGGAACATCATGGTGGGAAAGAGAAAGCTCTGGGGGAGGAACAAGGAGGGTGGGTGTCAGAAAATGCATTGGTCCTGGTACAGGGAGGGTGTACCAAAGACTGTGCCCTCAGCTGGGCATGTCTGTAATCCTAGTGACTTGGGAAGATGAAGCAAGAAGTTTGCAAATTTGAGGCCAGA